ATTTGTTAAACACAATCCAAGTCGCCATAATTCACCTCAAAATTTAAGTACACCAGACCCAAAACAAAGATTTTGATTTATTTACCCCCTTGAAACAAGGCCAAAGTCCAAAAGAGAAGTATTAATAGCACCGCGGAGGGATGACGAGGCTGCGAATCCACCCCCTTTTATCCATCCGTTAGGGGATTTAGCATCTGAAGCAGCAAAGTTTCCTTGAATTATGCCTCCACTTTTCCCACGCCTCCTTGTCTTTGGGAATTATAAAAGAACCGGTGATTTATTGAAGTGGATGATACTAAAAATTAATTAAAAAAAAGACTAAATTACGAAACAATCGCTGCTTATCCAATTTCCCCAGTCTTCTTTAATAAAGAAACAAGCAGCCGGGAAAACTCTAAAGTTTCTTTTTGTATCGAATGTACTCGGCACCGAACTATATACGATGCAGCAGCAGCAAGACCGAAATAAGTGGGGGGGGGGGTTTTTAGGGGACGGGCGTCCCGACGCCTATTTAAAAACACTCGAAAATTCCACTTCGGTACATCCACAATGCTCCATTGTGCGGAAAATGTCTTTTTATTTGGTCGTCTTGAAATCGAACCTGGATATTAAAAATGGTCATTGATCAAATTATGTGTAATAATTGAAATTGTGAAATTTCTTTGCTGAAGAGGGAACAATAATTATAATAAGATGTAAGAGAAATAGGAGTAGGCAAGGAATTAGGAGTTTTTGGTTCTAACACTTCTACCGAGGGTGGGACATTATTTTTAAACTCATTATTTTCTATAGATTTCCGGTCAACAGAATATTCCGTTAAATTTTCGGAGTTATTCGGGTTTTCCAAAATTTCCACAGCTGCCTTACTAGGAATATCAGGTCGAACATCTGTCTCTGGATACTGCAACAACGATTGTTCTCTGGAGTCATCACTAAATAAGAATTAATTCCAACTGCCTTTAACACCTTTGCTCAGTGGCGTAGCCGGTAGGGGGGCGACGCCCCTACATGTATGGCGCCCCTACCGCTCTTAAAAAGCAAAAACAATAAATTATAAAATTATGCTGTTTCTTATTTATTTTATTGACCTCTTTATTCTTTAACGTAAGTTGGCTATCGGCAAATGGTTCAGTTCAATCAAAGGAAACATAATAGTTTCTGTTTTGATGACTGATGTGGTTAAAAAAGGGAGTGACTACTGCACTGTCCAGACAGTGGTGACTGAAAACTATCTGCACTAACCAGACAGTGCCGACTAAAATCTATCTGCACAGTCAAGACAGTGCTGACTAAAAACCATCCGCAGTGTCCAGATAATTTCATCATCATAACATCATATCATAGAAAGTTAGAGTTATATTCAAAATGGCTTGGCTTCCTTGCTGGGATTCAGTATGTTAATATGCCCTAGGTAGGTATTTTTGTATTGAGTCCGCAAAATGAGTGTTTTTTTAATGGTACCTGAGAGTGTCAATTTCCACAGGTCAGGTCGAGGCGAGGCCATATAGTTATATTCCTAACCTAACAAGTGCTCAAAGTATTACTTTGAGCACGGAAATGCGTGCGGAAAAGTACTACTTTGTAGGAGGAATGTTGTCTGTATTTTGTATGCGACATTTGTGGTACTTAATAGACAGCTCTGAATGAATTTTTGGCCTCGTCCTGACCTATGAAAATTGACACTCTTAGGTACTGGGTGTTTGTTTATAACTGGTACACTCGATAAACTTTTTTGAAAATAAAGGGCATGTTCAAGACGTAGTTGGCAAATTTCTTGGGAAATCGCAACCTTAAGCGATACAACGATATTTTTCTGTCTTCATAGGTATACAGAGTGCGCCAAAAAGGTATTTATTTCAAATGGAACGCCCCATATATTTTTGTTATCCAAATAGTGTTTGATATTTTTGTGAAATTAATTTTCTTAGAATTTTAAAAATGCAAAAATGTGCATACAAAAAATTACTTTTTTGGCGCACTCTGTATACCTATGGCGACAAAACAATATTGTTGTAGCGATTGAGATCGTCGCAATTTACCAAGAAGTTTTCCAATTTAAACATATCCTTTATTTTCAATAGTAAAAAAGTTACTGAGTGTTCCAGTTATGAACAAACACCCTGTACCATTCAAAGGAATATAACTATAACTTTAGGTATATGATATGATAATTAAATTATCTGGACAGTGCAGTTTGTTTTTATTCGGCATTGTCTAGACAGTGCAAATAGATTTCAGATTTCACTGTCTAGACAGTGTTGATATATTTTAGTCGAAACTGTCCGGTCAGTGCAGATAGTTTTCAGTCGGCACTGTCTGGACAGTGCAGTAGTCACTCCCTGAAATAAAAGTACCGAGTACCGTATAGGTACCACCGATTTTTTCTGCCACTTCACCAATAATTTCTGAAAAACAAAATTGATTTTTTTTTTATATGAATTTCAATGTATTTATTTTAATTTTCACGTAGGGGTGGGGCTAAGAGGAAATAAAAAAAAATCCAGGCTATTGCGGTTCTTACAAAGCAACTGGTTACACTAAATAGTACGATACGTCGAGTATATCACTACGTAGTAGTTAAAAATCACTTGTATACCATACCATTACCCTAGAGGATCTTTGACAGAGACTGCCATTATTTGTCTAATTATTTTAGCCCACCACACACCCACCACTCAAAATGTGACCCATCGGATGATGACTGAAAGGGTGCCTTATGTTACGTTTATCTGTTGACATAGAAATATAATAAGAATTGGTTAGATCTTGTTCATATCAAATTCACATTTTAATAAAGAACTTGATATTTTTTACAATATTGAGTAATGAGTATGACAGTACTATTACAATCGAGCGTTACGATGGTTCTGATCGCGTAAGGAGAGTATGAACAGTGGCGAGGGGAGGGGCGACATGCACACGCAAATGTATCGTTATACAGGGTGGTCCTTCGGGAATGACATCGATTGCTTATGGGAAAACTGTGAAAGGTAAAAATTTGAAAATTTGGCAACATAGCAATGTCGATGGGGGACATCTAGGTAAAATATTTTCAAGATGGCGGCATTTCCGGTCATACCGGAAGTTGATACCAACTCGGTTATTTTAAATAGAACACCCCATATATTAATGTATTTTTGGATTCTACATAAAATTCTGAGCAGATTTCATGTAATATACCCTATACCTAAGTTCAACTGTTTTGGAAATATTGACAGTTGAAAATTGACTTTTTGCAACTTTGACAAGCTGTAAAACCTAATTGGTTAATTTTAGAGGAAAACCGATTTCACATTCCTATCTTAGATTTTTATAAACTATCATTTGACATCAACTTTGAATTAAATCCATGATTAAAAATTTCAGTTAAATTTAATCTCCGTTTAAGTTCAAAGTTGGTGTCAAATGATAGTTTATCAAAATCTAAGATAGGAATGTGAAACTCCTGGTTAAATTAATACCATTGACGCAATAGAGCATGATGCTTCAACCATGACCAGGAATGTCCAACAGACATAAACTTTCCTTGCAAACCGAGTTACTGTTCATCAAGGCCGAGAGCTCATTGAACCCATTTCGCTGTAAAATCGCACTCGGAGGAGTTGGCAACACTGAAGGAACGAGTTCGGGAATTGCTACATTAACTATAGGACAGAAACCCCTCCACAAACTCTCTCTTCGAGATAACTCTCTGTGGCACCAAAATGAAGAGGCAGCCTGTGCGCACCTCTGTCATTACTTATAATAGCAGATATTGCGTCACTGCTCCGAGCAGGGCGGAAGCTCTGGCTTCATTCATGGAGAGCATTCATTCTGGACTCCCACCTAACTCTTCTGAACAGGAAGAAATCGAGTATACAGCGGCAGCTTTTGCTATTAGGAAATACCCCATCCTCTAGCACCTGCTCGCTGATCTACTTGTCACACCTGGTGAGATCACTCCACGGCTGTTTTGCCTTGTTCCTTCCAATATTAAACAACTTTGAATTAGTTTATTTATTATAGCTCTTTACAAAAGACTCGAAGTACTTCATAGACGCTTGACAATCTCTATCCTTGTCTATCATCTACCAGCAGTAGCAGCCGAATGTCCTTGAAACATACATAAAAACGGCATCACATATCAAACCCTTAAAAAAATTCTGACTCTACTTGCATTTTAGCTCAAACCGAAAATCGAATTTGTTTTACAAAAAAATAATCTATACTTCATGCCCATATCGAACAGTAACATAGAAATTCTTTTACATTTTAGCACCATCATTCATACATTCATTCATATTCCACATCCATTATAATTTCTACAATATATCTCTATTCCCAATACGAATTATCGTGTAAAAGTTCACAATAAAACATGCCATTTTCGGCTGGCAATAAAAGTTTTACGAAAGTGTCGCCTCATTTTATAGGCGAGCTTTTTTATATTGGGATAGGAATTTATCGCATCATTTGGAAGCCCGGAACGCCAGTTATTATTTTAATTTTATCGTTTTGCAGATCCCAGTAATAAAATACGTACTTAAAAAGAAGGCGAACGACTGAAAAATTGTCAATTTTGGTGGTTTTGTTCTCTCAGAATCGTTTTGCGGTGTGATATTCAAAATTGGTTAATTAACAAAAGCAATTTTCACTTTTTCTGTTAATCCTTCTTAAATCTGTTTTGTGTAACAAATGGTTTTTTTGTTACACAAAATTTAGTTTTTTGAGGTTTTCGTGACAGGCTCGTAATAAATTCAACTTCTTGAAATGTTAGGCAACCTTGTCTTTTTAATACTACAATATTGATAACTAAATTTACAAATCATAAATACACACATAACTGGCGTGTCATAGCCTAGCAAATTGTTCAATACAGAATGAAATAAAGTCACTAAATATAAATTCGGATTGTGATATTTGTGATTAGAACTCCACAAATTTTTTTCAAAACTTTGGAATCGTTGAATACATTTACCACTTAATATCACAATCATCATATCGATTATTGTCTTTTTCAGTCTAGCAGATGGCGGTCCGTTCGGTAGCACCTGCCAAATCCACGGACCGATGGCTTCGACGCCGGCCACCGGATCCGAAGACATCACCGAGTCCCTGGACAACGCAGAAGGTCCCGAAGGACTCAAAAGTCCGCTGTTGCTCAAAAATCCGGCGTTCAGTCACACGCGGTGTCCGCTCGAAGTGCACAAAACTTGTTTTTGCGTACGGTTTATAGCGGAACATACCAAAATGGTCGAAGACTCTACGAAGGTTAGTATTTATTGTGAATTATTCTATCTTTTTGTATATTTCTGAATTAAAGCTATCGGGTTTGAAAGACAGGAAACGCGAGCCGGAGAGATGTTTACTTAGAAAATCCGGATTATTCCCGGACAGAGCAATTTAGCTTTCTAGGAAATGGAAGTTTAGAAGGCTTAAGCGATTTTCTTTCTTGTTTCTGTTTCTACTTTTTTACCTACTATTAATTTAGATAAAAATCTTTGTTTAAATCGCAGGTGATGTGAATTTCCATTGTTCAAATATTCGTTGTAGATTTAAACAGAAATGTTTGAGAAAAATTAATCTCGAAAATCGCCATTCCATTTTTTTTTAATATCTCTAAAACCTCTGCACTACGAGATTGCAATACAAGTATTCCTTTCAAGTGCAAAGTGTTGACGACTGTTTTTCTTTTTTTTTGAAACCGAGGAAAATATTAAATCCCAACATCTGTTGAGACAGAACCTATAGAATTCCCTCAAGACCTCTAGTTGCTTGTAGGAGATTGTGATGTTTGGCCTCAGGGCATTACGGAATTATTATTTTTGTTGGGCGGAACGATAAAAAGTTACGGGATTCATGTTATTTTTAGAGAGAGGAATGACGAGGAATTTCTACTTTGGGAAAATTTACTTGAATATAAAAAAAAAAACAGAAGAATTAGAAACTTATCTGATAGAAGAGCAAACTAAAAAGTACAAAATTATGAGCAGACTGTAATAATAAGGACAACACTTATTCGCGTATGAATAAACTTACTTTTCACACGCTCGAAAAAAAAAAGAATTTATCTGGAAAGCAAATACAATGAAGGACGACCATCAAGAGAAAAAATTAGAAAAATCTAACATGTCCAGTAGACATAAAAATATCAAATCACAACCTCTAATATTTATTCTCGATGGATGTTGAATATAAACCCCAATTTTTCCTTATGAAATCTAATTTTCTCGGTAAAAGGGAGGACAATAATCAAGACAAAAAAATGTTCATTTATTACATAATAATGGAACGAAGCGACAGAGATTTATGTTGTGTCAACTTCACACATGAAAGGACTTTATTAGAAGAAGTGAGGATTAATTCAGAAAACTTACTTATTTCCTATGTTGATTTGAATTTCTGGCAACGTCGCAGTTTAAGCATCGATTGGCTGTAATTTGACAAGTTTGACAGTAAAATGATCATTTATGGTTCTTGGTTCCCGCCTTCTTTATGTTCAATTTCTACCCAGTGAACACAGCTACATAAATTTAAAGCAGAAATTTACGTAACTATTGTTACGGAACTTATGGGTGGACCTCTGCGGGACGAGCGCAGCGAGTTCCGCAGCCATCTATTCATCAATATGTTGTTTAAGTACGATACTAACCTGACTCACTCAAATGTGAGTTATTCTCATTAGTTTGAAAACTACACGTTTCAGGTGAGTGCCTTATTTGAAAAATTCAACAGTATATTGGTGAGTAGATGGCTGCGGAACTCGCTGCGCTCGTCCCGCAGAGGTCCACCTATAAGTTCCGCAATAATCCACTTATTTGTACTTGAACAATAACTTATTATATAAAGTCAAAATTTGTAAGATTATTCACTTTTTGTCAATTTGCTTTTCATCAGGAATTAGTAATGTTACTTTACTAAACTAGTAACATAATGTGACAAGTTATTCAAGTACAAACGAGTGGATTGTTGCGGAACTTATGGGAAGACTTCTGTGGGACGAGCGTAGCGAGTTCCGCAGCCATCTATTCACCAATATGTTGTTCAAGTACAATACTAACTTGATTCTCTCAGTTGTGAGTTTTTCTCATTAGTTCAAAAACTACATTTAGATGAATGTCTTACTTGAACAGTTCAACAGTATATTGATGAGTGGATGACTGCGGAACTCTTGTACAAGGTTTTTTTTTTTATATATTAACACCCCACGTATAGCCTTTATCTTTACAGGTAGAAGAAAGGTGTAAATACAAAAGTTGTACAGTTTTGGTTGAATTTTTAGAAATTATGCTCAGAAACAAAATTTTAATGTCAGAAATGTGAAATTTTGCATGCTTCCAACTTTTTTCAAATGGGATGCCCTATATTTTATTCTATATTCTTGAAGAGCACAATGCCCCGATTCCAAAAATATATAGTTTGTCTATATTTGATTGAGCAGTTTTTCATATATTCGGCTCCAATATTTGAGAAAATTCTATCCTACTACTGATTTTGTGAACCCTTCTACCTGTATAAGTGAAAGCTGCAAGTAAAATTTGAGATACTTGGTTTCTCTGATAGTATTTTAAACATTTTTAAAACCAAATATGTTGGAGACGGCTCAACCAAATATAGACAAACTATATAGTTTTGGAATCGGGACATTGTGCTCTTTAAGAATATAGAACCAAATGCCATTTGGAAAAAGCTGAAAGCATGCAACATTTCACATTTCTGGCATTCAATTTTTGTTTCTGACCATGGATTCTAGAAATTTAGCCAATACTGTACAACTTTTGTATTTACACCCTCATCTACCTGTAAAGGTGAAGGCTGTAGGTGGGGTGTCAATATATGAAAAAACACCTTGTACATACTATAAATGTGACTAACGATATATTTAATATTCTACAACAGCTACAAATCTTCAGCTTACATAGTATTTATATAAACTTGACATGAAACTAATGCTGGTAAAAAAATTATTTCAAATTTATGTACCTAAGCTTTGTTCCAACACAACAGGGAACCGTACCTACATTGTACCGTCACGATTCTGCGCAAAACCGAATTACGTATAAAGAATGGTTCCAAAACGGTTTTCGACGTGTTAGAACAGACCTATAAACTTAACGTTAATGTCACAGATGTGTTTACTGGGTACGTGAACTCACTTTTTTGTGTTAATACTCCTTCTCTTTCATCCGCTCCTCATTCACTTCACTTCACTTGAACTTTTTTCAGTGTTGCTAAATCATGTTTATTTTCATCAAATTGCTGACATATTTAATATTTCAATAGGTGAAAGAAGACTGGAAATACGTTGCCATGGTGTTGGACAGACTTTTCCTATGGATATTTACATTGGCAGTACTAGTAGGTGAGTACTCATCGAAACTCACAAAGCATTAGTGAATCAATTATGATAATTTCAGGTACTGCCGGCATCATTCTTCAAGCACCGTCACTGTACGACGATCGCACTCCGATCGACAAAAAGTTTAGCGAGTACGCCACCACTGTTGTCAAATGTCCTCCGCCATAGTGCCGTCACCCCCAACGTTGCCAAACATTCCAACGACATAAATTTTTACCCATTTTTTTTTTTTATTTTAGGCAAAAAAAAACATACACCCATAGTGGTTGTGTCCGTTTTGTGGTGTTCGTTAGGACCCGATAATTATCTTTGATTGAATTGGATTAAATTTACACGGTGTTGCCAAACTGTTGGAAAAATACTAATGTCAAATTAATTACAATGCTAATCTAATCCAATCAAATTTTTATTGTTGTCAATAGATTTTTTGATAAATAAATAATATTGTTGTTAGGTTATATTTGTAAGGATTCCTCTAATAGGTATATTATATTTAAGATAGTATTTTAATTTTCTAGAAGCAATATGTATAATATGTATTTCAGTTTTTTAAGAGAATTTATTATAAGTGGTTTTTTATATTATTATTATTATTATAAATAAAAGTAAATCCTAATTAAGGTGTTCAATCGTCCCACTTGTATAAACTGAAGAAAAAAAAAGTGACAAAAACCCATGCTTATGACTGTTCGAATGAATTATTAATTAGCAATTTTACCTGATTGAAAAAAATATTTTATAAGAATTCTGTGTAATTTTAAAGTATTTTACAAGAAAAATAAATTATCTTGAATCATCGTGTAGTACTCAGAAAGATCTATACTTAAAACTACAGGGCGGTTCAATAATATTTTTAAAATTACCTATATGTTAAAAAAAAGCAGATGTCTTTTCAACGAATTTTAATTACCAGTAATAGATACGTATAATTAAACCATATCATTGTTCCTAATTATAACAATTATTGTTAACTTGAAAAGTATTATACAGAGTGGTACAATAAATTGCCGTTGACATAAACCACAAAACCGAAACGTGCGCAATTTTAATTTCCTGTGATTATGTATTAAATTAATTTCAATTTTTTAAAACAACTTTTGACAGATATGTATCAAATTTATATACAGGGTGTTTGCTTTTGACATCCATAAAACACCCCAAAGAGAAATCATATCTGAAAAGAAATCTGCAAAATACCCATTAATAATGTAGATCCTACCACATAGTGCCATACCAATGTTTATTTTCGTAAATTTTAAGGAAGGTGTAATTTTTCGAAGTAAAAACACACAGAGGAATCTAACCCTAGGATTATTAATATAATAGGTGAAGACAAAAAACATTTAGTTTAAAATAGACTGCCTAAACAAACAAAAAAATAACGTTAATAACGAAATTGGGAACATGTTTTTGGGAGAGAAGAATAACTTCACCAATATAATATTATTGTGAAGTTATTCTGTATTTCTCTTCTATTTGTATTCTGTAAATACTAGGAAAAAATATACTATGGGTGTTAGAGAAAAAAAGAAACTTTTAAATGGACTGTAGAAAATATGAAAACTAAAAAATAAAAGCCGTTGTTTCGAAATAAAAAATATATATATATATATATAAAATTAAATACGACCTGTTTAGAACCTAAGATAAAACAATTGTTATACCCAAATGAATAAAAATAAATAAATAAATTGTTGCATGATTTTTTTAATCCTGCTTATACAAGAGACTTAATAAATTTCCTTGTTTGTTCTTCCTTGTTTTATTGTCATAGGGCTTTTGTAGACAAAATCAAGATGATCGAGAATTTTTTTCAAGGTCCCAATGAAGCAGTTGAAGTAGAAATTGTTAATCATGATCATAGCATGAAAATGTTTAACTAATGTTGTATTTAGTAGTTTAGGTCATAGTATGTAGCTAACTTGATATATATCACTTCTGACTGTCAACCAGGTCTAAATCTGGAACACTATCTGAACACCATTCTCAGGTCTATCTTGAAGAAACATTATTGGTCTAAGGGGTTCCATTTCCGAAACATCTGTCGATACATAGGTCAATGGTCGCGAATTTATGACCATTTCACAATCACACAAAGGATGCTTGGAGGGCAAAAACACCGGAAATTTTAAATGTTCATTGTCATCCGGAACTTATTCTTGTTTCCAGACAAATAAGACCATATTTGTCTTTAAATGGATTAAGCGTCCAAAAATTATTTTCTTCGACTCCTGCAAAACTTTCCGTTTGTTCTAGAATTTGTATTAATTAATGTCGTCAGCAACTTCTTTTTCTTCCTCATTAAATTGAATCGTGCCTTGAGGCCAAGCTTCTGGGTTTTCATAAAGCCAACTTAGGCCCCCCCACCATTTTGATTCTAATAACTTTTTAGCAGAACTACCGCGCGATAACAAATCAGCAGGATTTAGCCCTCCCGGAACATGGCGCCACATCTTGACTGAGGTGTACCGTCTAATCTCAGCTACATGATTATATACCAAAGTTTCCCATGCCTCATTTCTGGAAATCCAGGAAAACACTGTAGAAGAGTCGGTCCAAAAGAAACAATCAACGTCCAATTCAAGACTTTCTAGTAACGAAGAACACAGTCTGATAATGCTAATCTATTGATGGTTCATTCATGGGGAGCCACCTACCACCCTACTCTTAGCAGCGACAGCGACTGCTGCATTTATGCTGTTCGACTTGCATCGGCAAATGTGTTGAGCCTCTCCTGATCTGGCATGTATCCATATAGGAATTTTAATGTCTAGCGAATAGGGCAGGTCCTTGAACCATTTATGGAAAAGTTTTCCAGTTTTTAGATCCACATTCGCGTCCCATTTCAGTTTTATCTCCCAGGTCCAGGAGCAATTTTGGAATTAATGTCGTAGGGCTTGTAAAACCAACTGGATCGAAAATCTTCTGAGCTAAAGACAACATTTTCCGTTTAGTTACAGGCTCATTCAATAACTTGTCACACACAACATTGCCACACCTTTAACAAATTTTCTGGCAAACATGACTCAATAAGTGGGAATAACATTGCAGAACAACTATCAGATTTAACGATTGTCCAAAGCGCGCATTTGAGTTTCTATGCTATCATAAAATTCCATTAAATTCATTCTACCATTAGAAAGAGCGTTGTTTACAATGATTTTGAGTAGTTCACGAACATACACCTCTATCTGCAAATTATCCCTGCCGAAACGAGAAATCAAACAGTCAATTATAGGATTTTCACGCTATATTTAGGATGACGTCACATTTAGTAAATTTCTGCTGCAAATCTAACAAAACTAAAAGTACTTCTTAACGCATTCAAAGTAGGGGAATTTCAGATGTTTCTGGTTGGCAGCGGCGCGCGATGTTGCATGATTTAAATGAACATTTTCAAATAAATAACGCGTGTCGATTCATTTCGTTATTTTTAGCTGTCAGTGGTCTTGATAATTCATTATGACATTCGTAAATTCAAATAGGCATTGACAACATTGTCAGTCCTTGTTCTCTTACGTCATCCTAAATATAGCGTAAAAATAGTATATTTCGTTATAATGTTTCCCAACGCAAGACAAACTTTCAATAAGTTGTCTAGCTCTGCTGTCTGGTATAATATAGCCTGTACCAAATATTCTACCTTGTGATTTAAATCTAACTCAGGATCGTCATGCAACTTACTCAAATGTAACCAAAATGAAAGCCAATTTTTAATATTGCCATCAAAATTTTCAAATTCTATAGCTAGAAATTTGAATTTGTGCTTACCTTTGTCGCTGCTAGTTGAATTACTTGACTGGTTAGCTAATGATTGAGTCTCAGATTGAGCTTTCGATTTATCTTCGAGGAATTCGGCGCACTTGAGGTTCAGAGCCAAATATCTCTCTTTGTAGGCTTCACTAATCACATTAATTCATCTCTGCCAGCAGATCCTACTCACTTGTTTCTTCTAGCATCAAGCAGTAAATTTCTTCGTCCAGGCCACCCAACTTGTTGGACTTCTCAATAAACAATTCCCAGAATAATTGCACTTCTTGTTTGTCAGCTTTGTCTACGATTAGTTTATATAGCTCTTTAGCCTTCTTGGTAAACGATGAACGTAACACTTTTACTTGTTTCATAAGTCTTATCATACAAGACAGACTTTGTCAAGTGGTAGTGATAATAACAAAGACTCTAAGTTTTTCAAAAACCCCTTAAGATAAAATTTGTGTTAGTCTCAAAGAAACCACTCGATGCTACACCACCTCGTCCAACTCCAAATAAATCTTTGAAAGCTGAGCATACTATAAAAAAAAAACGAATATTTAAACTGTACAAATTTTAGTTTTTTTTAAAGAAGGGAGAAAATGTGTTTAGTAGGGCCATATCCATGAAATAAAAATATTCACCATGCAGTTTGGGATCAATAGACTGTTTTCCTTTCTGGATGTTCATGGTAAGACAGCCCAATGTAAAACTGAGCTCCAAAGGTTTTCGTAAGCCAACCCACACTGATGGATGTCTTCCCTAGCCAAAACCTAATACACTTCTGAATAGTGTATTCCACAGTCATTTTCTTTAGATTTTTCTTGCGGTACTCTTTTCAGATTAACACCACATAGAAGTGAGATTTCTTTATGGTGCTCTATTCTTCCGTATTTTAGTGTCTTGTTTATATCTTTCTCTAGGTTGTATAGGGTATTGAACTATGTTTTTCATTGTTCTCTTGTTATTTTATCAGTTTGTATGGTAAATTTTTCTTTGGCTCCTTACAAATTTCTCTCTACACCCTAGGTGAACTTCTGCCCCCTTCTGGACTCAAGGAGTAGAGCCCATTTCACTTTATTATCTTCCTTGTTATATATATTGTATGAAGTATTCTTCTATTCAGAAAATATCATCTGAGGAAAGAAACAAAGCGTATTTCATGCAAATTTTGTTTAATAAAAATCAGCGTAGTATACTGTACTACCCAAACAAACACTTTGTTATTTTCCTTATTTGAACACATGCACATAGCCTCCTCAGTTTGAAATATCATCGGTCCTTTTAATGTAGCTAACTTTATACAGGGTGGAATTTTTAAATGGAATAAATTCGTTAACAGAAAGCCTGTTTATTTTCTGGAAAAATAAAAAAACACGGGTCCCTTTATTTTTAGTTTGGCACATTTTTTCGGCCTTTTCATGAATTTACCCCTCTCTTAAGGGTAGAAACCACCCCCAACTTTTTTTTTTTTCAAATGAAAAGATATGTATTGTGATAGCTCGTTGGAATGAGCATAAAAAAAGGAATATGACCCAGTATTTACTTTTGCATTTTGGTGCAAGAAAAAAATTAACACAAATTTTTCCACGCAATTTTTTTACAGTTAAAATTGTTGAATATCTTCAGCATTTCTTCTTGGTAAAACCCTAATGCGAAATAAGCCCCATTTGTAACGTTATGTAATTATTTCTGACGTTAACACACTATTTGATGCCTGATACTCGGATTCTCAACCCTAAAATAGTGTGTTATTGTCAAAAAAAATTACATAACAAGACCACCGAAATGCAAAAGTAAATAATGGGTCATATTCCTTTTTTTACAATACATCACAATACATATCTTTACATTTGAAAAAAAAAGTTGAGGGTGGTTTCTACCCTTAAGAGAGGGGTAAATTCAATGAAAAGGCCGAAAAAATGTGCCAAACTAAAAATAAAGGGACCCGTGTTTTTTTATTTTTCCAGAAAATAAACAGGCTTTCTGATAATGAATTTATTCCATTTAAAAATTCTACCCTGTATATGTCACTTCCCTTAGACTGTAGTTGGTATGCGAGTTTGTCATATCAATTCTAGATTATTAAAAAGTTCAATAAATATATTTGTCCGTAAGAATTTGTAAAGTTTAACGTATTTTACTAGAAATACACAAGAACTGAAGAAACCGAAGCTACGCTTTTTCTTTTTCCTCTGCCAAGTTTTTGTTATCCAATTTTCACCTGTTTCCCTTCTTCCTTTTTGATAGCTACTTGCCTAATCATTAATCATTTTCTGAATTTCCCTTCTATCATTCTATATGGAAATCTTTTAAGTACCTAATTCATTATCATTTCTTTTTCCAGCATATGTTTGATAGGATTCCCACTCAAAGCACAACTTTTATGAGAGAAAGTAGGCTGGATGGTTCTATGAATACAATTTCTTCGCCACTTGGTCTGCCTTCTCATTGCCTTCGATCTCTGCGTGGCCCTGGTATCCACCTAATAAATCTTCTCAAGACCAAAACTTGACGTTCAAGGCCAACACCAAGACTCTCTCTCAAGACTCTCGTCTTGGTCTTGGTCTTAAAAATAAAAATCGAATTAATTATTTGCATTGCCCATTAACCATAAAGTATACAAATACCAAATATAGAAATACCAAAAAATTAGTGCGGGTAAGATTCACTTTTGAATAATCGCGGGAAATCTAAGGAGCCAGAGTGTCTGTAGCCACGAGTAGTAATACACGCTGTTCGTTCAAGTACCTATTCAATATTTCCCTACCCCTACATAATACAATAGGTAAAGTATTTTCCACAATAATTGGTATCGAGGTAATGACTGCAATAAAACTACCCATTGTATTCCCATTGTGTTCATGCCCGCGCCCTTTCAAAACGTCTAGGTAGTTAAAAGGAGTCAACCATTTATTTGCCCAAACTAACCCAAATCTAATTAGGTATTGTGAATAGGTCAATAAAATTCAAATGAGCTATGTGAGAGTTCTCGAAAACTTTTGTCTGGCCTGAATGCTCAGGTACGTAAGGTAGGTTTATTCTTATGGTTATGGTTATTTTTTCCTCGGTACAGAATGGCAACTTTATAGTGTGTCTGTCAACTTTCCTGTTTCGTTAATAATCTAATTTAAGAATCGATGTTTGTTTGTTCCTCTGTGTTGTGAAATGCTTTGTGCGGTATTTTTTGACATGAAACGCTCGGCTGGTAAAAATAGCCTGTGAAGAAGAACAAATGCATGGTCGAAACGTTGGCATAATTTTTTCAGAAAGGGAGGGTTTTATTTTTTATTTCTAAAGTTTTAAACCCAATATCTCTGTTCTGTCGTTATATGTTTTGTATATTTTAAAAATTTGGTATACATTTTTTTCAAGACTATCAAGACCAAGACCAAGATAGCATTTATTTATCAAGACCAAAACCAAGACCAAGTATGGCCAGTCTTGGTCTTGCGAAGCCTTATTCCCAAACTACTCTGGATCTGATTATTGGTGATCCAGCACTTTAATGGATGCTTGACTGTCTGAGAAAATGACAATCTCTCTCTTTTTGTAGTTTCTGTCAAGAGTGAACTCAGCACATCCACTTCATCCACTTATAGCGTTTATTTCCGCCTGAAATATGTCTGTGTATTTTCCCATTGCTTCGAAGAACTTGATTCCAGACCCAAGTAATCCGGCTCCGGACCTTTTTTCAGTTCTTGACTCATCAGTAGGTATACCATTTTATGGCATTGTAAGAATGGATGTGGTATTTCCTTCCCATTCTTTGTTTCCTATTATATGTTTTGACCATATCATCCCTGGGAAGCTCGAGCAGCTTGGTTAGAGATGCCAATTCTCTCCTTGCAAGCCAACCTCCCTCGCCAACTCCCTCCCTCGTGATTCTAGTGACTTGATCTAAGGAGGATTTTAAGATTTAATAATTAGAAGCATTTGAAGAGTGTTAATCGTCAAATATCACTGCTCCGTCTAATTAAATGAAAATCTCCTATAAAATTGAAAACCCAAATTAAATGATAAGTTGGTGAAGTCAGTGAAGAATATTTCTTTTTCATTCCCAAAAGAACACATTAAAACCGTTGAATTTTAGCTGATAGTTCCACAATTAATTTGGATCCTAATAGTTGAAATCGAGGCTTACATTGTTAATAACTGGCATTTCTTTCTGCATTTTCACAAACCTTTTGGGTATCATACAAGAAAATTCAAAAGGAGCAGATTTATGGAAAGTTCAATTTAGAGAGAAAGTTTGGAGCAATTCAAAGTACCTCAGCAAATTTTAGGGGTTAGATGGACTCAACAAGTGATTTATTCTTTTACATTTTCCTAAAAAAAAAATCATCCCTTCATTTAATCAAAATATAATTTGTCTCAAAAATTTTTTTAAAATAAATAAAAATAAATAAAAAATACATTATAAATATAATACTTAAACAAAACATCGATAAAAACAAATTATTATTGATCAAGATTAATAGGCGAATCACATTCTTCTGTATAATTTTTCGGGACATGTTTTTCAGTCAACGAGATGAAAGTGTTCAATGGACAAAGGACGTCGCATTTGGCCAGGTTGAGGTCCTCTGGAGTTTTATAAACGTCTCGAATGTAGGATACCTAAAATTTTTTTAATAAGCATCAGAGCTTAATAATTTATTGCCCCAAGTAAAATAAGTACCTTAACAGCATAATCCTGTCTAGATCTCAAATAATGCAACTCAACGAGTACAGCTGAACTGTAATTGGGAAAATGAGTTTCATAAAGACCCATAGCAGCCAAAATATTGATAACGTTATTTTCGTGTCCGGAATAAATGAAAATTTTCCTTTCGTGAGGGTGCAGAGTACCTTCCGTTTTAGCCACCATGTTGTCTATGACTTTACGAAGCATACGACCTAAAAAAAAAGGTAATTTTTATTTTGAAGAAACTGAATAAATTTGCTTATAGTTTTTCCAAAGTCAATTGGAACAAAGTGAACATAAATCATAACTATGGTGTCTGACTAGTGGCAGTGCATTTCTTATGGAAATTTTCAGTGACCAGTCAGCTAGCAGTTGGTACCTTGTTCCAATTGAGTTTGGAAACACTATACCTCCATTTAATTTTTTCAATACGTCATTGGCGTTTTCCATTTCGCATTGTTTGGCTGCAATCTTGGTTATTTCTTCTGGATAAACTTTTTTTGTCCACTCTGGAAGTGTTAGGTTTAAGGTTTTCTCAGCAGTCAGAGTTTGGTAAATTTGGAAAATGTCACCTGTTAAAAGAAATTGATTAGCACAATTAAAATAACCAATAGTATACTTACTTAATTTATTAATTGGCTTTCCAGTGTGATTGGCAATATAATGGAAAGTTTCTCTTTTAGATTTAATGTAGGCTAAAACATCATCAGATTGTAAAACTTCTTCAAGCTCCTTCATATAAGTTGGACAATAGGTGTTTGGTCTTTTGAGAACCTGAATTAGATTTTTATTAAAATATAATTAAAAATTATTAACCACTCACAAAATCCCGATGGTCTTTTTCATAGTCGAAAGGTATAGGTTGCCATTCGAGTTGCTCGTTCCATTTTTGGGCTTTCGCTGGAGGAAAAAGACCCGCCAAAGCAAGCAAGGCAGACATTTTGGTCCTGTCATAATCGGTACTTTGAGTGAATACTGCTTCAGGTAGATAAATGTCGCCCAAAAACTTATTGTACCGATTCCTGAGAGATTTTCCCAGAGTGAAGGCCATTGATTTTCCATGCTAGATATAATAATTATATGCAATTATTATTAATAATTCAAGCTGACAAAAATAATTATATATTGTACCTACTTTTCAATGACAATAAAAAAAAAATTGCTTTGGGTATTAAAAATAATGTGCCTGAATTTTGCAACTTACGTTTGTCAGTTGTCCCCATCCCATTGGCTGGAAAGTTTCTAATTTATGAGGGTCATTGGGGTAGACGTCTCTTAGCTCTGGAGTTCGGGCTCCATGTCTTAGAAACTGCGAAAAATTGCTGAATAAATTCTTAAGGCAACGTCGAATGAAAAACTTTCCCCAAAAAATTACCGAAATCTCGTTTCGACCCCAATTTAATCAGGAAACTATTTAAAAAACATTTTACAAACAAATTTCCATTGTAAGTATCCTTGCGTGCTAAAAAGATTAAAAACGATTTCTGGGTTAATTTATTTTCGATATGGGCGTGATTTGTTTGCAAAATGAGGTAGACTACGGTTTTGTATAATAGATATGTAATAATTATTGTTATCCTTGTAGGAAATAGTGTGCAACCTTTTTTAATTAGACTTTTTTTAAATTGTTCCTTTGGTTGTTGGTTGGTTTGATTTTGATGTTCTTCTAATTCCAGTAGTATAAAATTTTTTCTGGATTTTTTTTCTGGTTTCAGGAGGCGTTGGACGTAAAATTGTCAAGGTACCTGTCGGTATCTTTTTGCCTTCTCTACCTCATAGGATATTTTGTTTCCTCGAAATTCAAAAAAAAAGTCAACTTTCAATTTTGGGAAATCCCCAGATTTTCTTGTGGAACTTCTTTAGGAGGCGTTGGACGTAAAATTGCTAAGATACCTTTCTGGTTTCTCTTCGCCTTTCCTTCCAGATAGGGTATTTTGTCATTTTAAAATTCGAAAAAATCAACTTCCAGTTATGGGGAATTCCAATTGAAAAGGAGTGGATTTTCTTCTGGAATTTTTTTCTAGCTTTAGGAGGCGTCGGACGTTTTATTCTCGCGAAGTTGTTCCTACTATTTTATTGATGTCTCTCTATTTCGTCTTCGATTTTCTTCTTTCCTGCTTCTAAAAGTTATGTGTGTAATCTATCATTGATGTTGTTGGAGTCATCTACTTATAATTCATCTCTTATAACTACCTTTTTACAGTGAACTTCGAAGTACTTTTAATTGATGAGACTCCAGCTTTCACAACTTTTTTTCTTCAAATTTCACCCCTAGTTAGCTTGTACCTCTCAGAACTCAGAACTATATGTGATCAATGTCATAATAGCTCAGACATAAATTCTGTTCTTTTTCATACCATTCGGTGTTATTTAGGTCTATCTCCTGTTAAGCCCTTTCTTGGAGAATCTGTTACTTAATAGAACCAGAGATTTTGTTGTACTGGGAACAGGAAGTTTCAGTGTGAGTGGTAATTGACCATAAACACACACAAACTTTGTATTAAAGATAGACAAGATTTCAATATAAATGATCAATTGAAATTTCATAATGTGATTACCCAAGTAAAGGTGGATGGATGATAACAAACTTAAGAAGAAAAAAATGTATATGCAACATTTTCTATTATCAATAATAATCTCATTCCTAAGAGAACATGGTATCAAAATTTTAGGCTTAATCCAGTAAAAATACGTGTTGGAAAGAGTCTCATGGATTTTTATATAATATAGAGAAATAAAAACTCAAAATTGTTACTTACCACACTTATAAGTCGTAGACTATTGGAATCGCTGACAGGTTGACTCGAAATCAAGCCAGCGCAAAACAAGCCAAAACAAACGAAAAATTTCATATTGAAAATACACGAAACGAACAAAACTAATAAACCAACTACTAACAAAACGAAAAAGCAATAAAACATGGGACTTAGTACCCCATTTTACGTTCGTTCGGTACTCGCCTAGAATTATTTAAATAGACGTTAAGTGAACAATTTGGGTAGTCACGCGGCTAAAAAAAAGGTACCTAGTTAAACTTTGTTTGTGATATAGTTAAAGCGAACAAAAGGGTTTTAATTGAATTTAGAGACGATTTAAGAGCGGTCAGGCAGTACCGTATTGTGTGTGCGATTCGGATTTTTTGTCGCCGAGTTTTATATGAAATTGGTTAGGAGAATGCGGAGTAGTAGAACACAATACGATGCCAAATATTAGGAATTTTTTGCAAAAAAATGTTTTTTTTTAAAATAATTCTATTGATTTCAATGCATATTTAGTTTATTTACCTCATATTCACCCAGTGATGACTAGAATGAATCATTATTTGGAAAATAGTAGAAATTTCGGAAAATCGCCTTAGAAAAATGAGCTTGGATTTTTCAAATTGACAGCTGAATTTATGCCGCAAAAATAGGACACGCAGCTCAAAGTCATCGTTGTTTTTTCAAAGAGAAGACGATCAAAAGTCAATTTCCCAAATACTTAATGTCAATTGCCTGGTCAACGGTCACTTTTTGCAAGGTTTCATTGATAACGGTTGCGAAATAGTCACAATACCTATGAGAAAAAGAAGCTCAAGTTGGAACTACAAGGGTGAAATGTTTGTAGACCTACTTCAGTGCTTCAAACCACAGGGTGAATATATCATTTCGAGATATATTACTTCCACTGATTCAGTGCTACTGCCAACTTTTAATTTGTCAGAAGAGATGATAAGTTTCAACGAGAAACAGTTGGTTCGGTTACCAGAGCAACTCTTTATGTACCTACTTGATGACGCATTAGGTAGCAGTGATTGCTAGGTAAGCATAAACAGTTTGTATAAATCTAATCTGGAATTGTTCACTTTGAATGATAGGTATCCAAGATCAAATAAATCAGAATATTGACGAGCCCCATATTTGAAAATTCACGACAAAAAACAGCGTTCGTTACTCCAGATGGGCTGTACGAATATTTGCATATGCCATTCGGATTGGTGAATGCTCCCACCGTTTTCCGAAGAACGTTTAACCATTGTTGATCATATGACTATTAGCTTATCTTGATGACATTCTCGTGCCAAGTTTTAATTTTCATTCTGGCCTAGAAGCATTAAACGAAATATTTGAAGCATTTAGAATTTTTGGAGGAACATTCAAGTTGAATAAATGTCATTTTTTTAAGAACGAAATTGATTATTTGGGGCATGAAATTAGTGCAGAAGGAATTCGTCCTGGGTCAGAAAAAACTAAAGCAGTGGAACACTTCCCAACTCCAAGTGATGTCCATGAAGTACGCCAATTTCTAGGACTCGCAAGCTATTTTAGAAAATATGTGGAAAACTTTACCTAAATAGCTCGCCCATTAACAGCATTCACAAGGAAAAATGAGGCTTTCACACAGGAAGCAGAACAACTACAATATTACCAACTTCTCAAGAACCATTTATCAAAACGACCTATTCTAGCTATTCACAACCCACAGTTACAGACTGAACTTCATAATGACGCTTCAAGTCGAGGCCTTGGAGATATTTTGCTACAATGGCAAGAAAATGGAAATTTAAAACCGGTTATGTTCTATAGTAGACAAACAACAAAACAGGAACAGAGTTACCATTCATATAAATTAGAAACGTTGGCGGTTATATGCTGTCTTCAAAGATTCAGGGTGTACTTTATAGGTATTACGTTTAAAGTGGTGACTGACTGCAATTCACTACGAACTTCTATGACCAAGCGTGACCTGATACCTAGAATAACCCGCTGGTGGTTAATATCACAGGAATTTAATTTCAATGTAGATTATCGGCCGACAACAAAGATGGCTCATGTGGATGCATTAAGCAGAAATCCAGTTGAAACACAAAGTGAAAGCCTTAGCCACTGAAATTTAAGCAGTCAATGTAACAGATGACGATTGGATTTTATCAGTTCAACTACAAGATGAACGTTGCAAATATTTGATAGATATTTTAGCTAGAAAACCGACGGATGGTGATGAAAAATGCATAGATGTACAAGGAATATGTCATAAAAGAGCGTCGTCTTTTCATAATGACTGCATGGGTTGAAGTGGTACGTGCCTAAAAAAGCAAGAAGAGCAATACTATCATATTACCATGACAAAAGAGTTCACTTATCTACAGAAAAGACTCTTAAAGCAATAAGTGAATACTACTGGTTTGCAAGAATACAGATATATGAACAGCGTTACATATTTTCCTATTTGGAACAGAAGACCCACCAAAACAGGGAGGTTTTCTACATCCGAACAGAAGGGAACCAATACCTTGGGATACAATTCATTTTGATCATCTTGAACCTTTTGTGAAAAGTTCAAAGGGTAATTGTTACTGCGAATTCCTCACAATAGCAATCTTTGATTGTTTTTTTCTTTTTTGAAGATCGGATACCTTCTGGAACAAATCTCATAAGGACTGCAAATTTCCATTTTCTTGGAACGCAGCTATTTTTGATGGATTTTCTTCGAGAAGCAACGTGATTGAAAACTACTGGAATTTGTTGTTTTTTTGCCCAAGAATGTTATCTTGTGTTGCTATGATTTAAAAGCTTCCAACACGTCAAGAAACCGTACAATGTACAGGGTTATTGGTTATAAATGTCACCGCCCTCTATCTTTTTCATTTGACATTTTAGAAAAAAGTGTCCCAAATAAAAAATTTATGGTTAAAATTAAATTTTTCGAAGAACTCACTTTTGCATATACAGGGTGTTTCAAAAAAGCTGGTCGTGCTCCATTTTTCTTATTTTAAATTTAATACCCTGTATATTATTCAATATTCGGATTCTACGTCAAATTCTGAGCAGATTTCATGTGATATACCCTATACCTAAGTTCAACTGTTTTGGAAATATTGACAGTTGAAAATTAACTTTTTTGCAAATTTGACAGGCTGTAAAACCTAAACGGTTAACTTTTGAGCAAAACTGATCTAACATTTTTTTCTAAGATTTTCACAAGTTATCATTTGGTACCAACTTTAAATTTAACCGAAGATTAAATTTAATTGGAATTTTCAATCATGGATTAAATTCAAAGTTGATGTCAAATACTGGTGTCAACTGATAGTTTATAAAAATCTAAGATAAAAATGTAAGATCGGTTTTGCTCTAAAATTAACCGTTTAGGATTTACAGCCTGTCAAAGTTGCAAAAAAGTCAATTTTCAACTGTCAATATTTTCAAAATACTTGAACTTAGGTATAGAGTATATTACATGAAATCTGCTCAGAATTTTACGTAGAATCAGAATATTCAATAATATACAGGGTATTCTATTTGAAATAAGAAATTTGGAGCACGACCAGCTTTTCTGAAACACCATGTATATGCCAAAGTGAGTTTTTAAAAAATTTTAATTTCAACCATAAAACTTTTATTTGGGACACTTTTTCCTAAAATGTCAAATAAAAAAGATAGAGGGGGTGACATTTATAACCAATAACCCTGTACCTATCGTCACGTTTTCGAAGCCGTTCATGCGACGGTTTTTGACGTGTTGAAACAAACCTAAAGTAAACCTTGCTCAAAAATCAATTATTGTTGTTGAGCCACGTTGTTGTGTTGATTTTTTCGTACTCAAGTACGTCAAATTTAATTTGTTCGTCATCTTTTATGTTATACATATTATTAATCCATCGATTTGTTTTATTAAAGACTCGAATCTGACATTTCATCATAAGAAATATTGCGTGAGTCTGAAACATTTCTGGATCTTAATTTTTATAAAACAATTCTGCAGAGTTCCAAAAGTACAAATAATTGTTTTGTAAATATTGGGTAATTTTATTATTATTGAAGATCATAGTCATAGATCAAAATGGATTTTCCACGCAATATAGAGTTGCATCATTACAAATATCTATCAAAAATATATAGAAACAAACAAAATAATATAATTTTTTTTTATTAGGGCCTCTATCAAATGATAATTATTTGAAAACCAACGTCTTTCTCTGGGTCACTAAGTATATAATTTTGTTTTGATATGATTGCGGAAAGATTTCTTGGTAGAAAACGTTCAACGATCTATTTTTAAATAAACGAACTATTTCTTATCGTTTTAATTGCAATTAAAAATAAGTAATAAAATATTTCCATATACGCTGGCCGACGCGTGGTTTAAAGGTTAGAAAATCGTGTGTGTATTTCATTTCCTTAAAATTCTTGATCTGCCGATCGGATTGTAGGGGAGGAAGGAGCAAAAAAAGACTGATGGAAACCAGAAGAAAAATTCAAGAAACTAAACATTAGAATTATAACTTCTATGGGGGAGCTCAACTACGTGAAAAACTGGAAGGTCTCGGCTGAACCTTCCCTGTCTGATCACAGGATTATAGAGTTCAGCTTAGAAGTAAGCACGTCCAAAGCAAGACTCAATTGAGAATTATACAAAGCCAATCTCGAAGAAAATCCAGGCCTGTAGCTACGTTTTGATTCCAGAGGGGGCAACCAAACATTTAGAGGGGGCAGAGCTATTTTAATTTTCAGCGTTACTAAAAATCAGGACAAGGTTAAAAAACCTTATTTTCAAAAGTAGGTACATAATAACTGATAACAAAATATAAAACCCTAACAAAACACAAAGAAATAATAAGAATACATAAGAGCGCACTTGGAGGGGCGTTAATTACATTGAATTCTGTCAGTTCTGTGTGGATTTTTTCAAATTCGTGCAAACAGAAAGAAAAGGCTCACATCAGAATTCGCTCAAAATTGGCATAAACATTCTTTGATGGATTATCTACAATCCGAATATTTTAGTTTTTCGATAATTTGCGTTTTTCTCGAAATGAAAAGTGTAGTTATACCTATCTGGTTGCCTATAGCCGGATTATTTCTAAGAACTCGCAAAATATCGAAAAACTGAAATATTCGGATGTAGATAATTGATCAAAGAATGTTTGGTTTGGGCCGAGGACTTTAGGTAGGTTCAGTTTGAGGGCTTTGGAATATAATCGGCATGCTGAGCCTGTTTCAGTTTTGGATCCATCAGCAGTGTTGCCAGGTCTACTGATTTATCAGTAGATCTACTGATTTGGCCACTGGTCTACTGATATCAACGTAAATTCTTCTAATAAAAGCCGTTGTCATTATTTACCTGGTTTTTATGATATTTTTTAAATTAAAATCTTG